GGCGGAGCGGGCGCCGGGCGGGGGTGGCCGTGGGGGTGGGCGGGCGGCTCGACGGCGGCGCGACCTGCGCTGCCCTTGCCCGCCCTGCCCCTCCCTCGGCGAGCCTCGGGGGAGGCTCAGGGTGACTGACCTAAACACGACGTGCACAGACGCAATGTAGATGAGCATTTTTTTAAAAAAAAATTTTAGCGCAGTTTTGCATTTATGCTGTAGATATATGATTATTTTAAATGCGGTGGGCTGACAGAAATAATTCAGCCTGTTTCATGCTGTGTGCTGGGTTAACTCGGGGGGACCGAAAACCAGCCTTGTGAGAAGGTCAGGCTCACGTGAGAACAGCTCCCTGCCCTGGTTCACCCTCTGGCCAAGCAAAGCTTTGCGTTGGCACCACGGCAGGAACTGCAGCAGGAGTGGGCGTGAGCAAGTCGGGAAGAGTGGGGCTGCAGTTTCCACCAGCAGTGTTGTCCGTACCTGTCCTAACCTAGAGAATTCATACTCATTACTGAAGCTGAAAACTTACTGAAAACACCTGGAGGTTGCAGCAAGTGCAGTCTGTCATGCTGAGCACTATATTTGCACAGACACCTACAAAGGTGGTATGATGGCAGAAGGAGCAGGCAGCTGACATCACATGGACGGATGAGTGGTGTTTATTGTGACAGTAAAGCTCTTTCCACTGTCTACCTGCGGCTTTTGCAAAGGCAGGCGGTGGAAAACTCTATATGTAACATATAAAGGAAGCAAGATAAAATGATAACTGTTTCTTTTGTTTTTCTCTTCTTCATGCTGCAAAAAAACCACCAGTGGCCAAGAGCAAATCTAAGTAAGTGATGTTTTTCTAACCAGTTTTGGGTTTTGGGTACCACCCTGTATCTTTACAGAATGTTAGGCTTCTCTAAATTTTTTTAATATACCTGAGAGAATTGCAGACCTTGAGTCTAGCTGCCTCTTCTCTGTCCTTCTGCATGTGTGTCTTCTCACAGGTAAGTATAGAATGGCGTGAAACTCCTCGCTGGGTTCTGAAATTGCAGCAAAGGCAAGTTTGTCCTGTGGGCTGTTGCACTGATCTGAGCTGTAATATCCAAAGCACCTTGCGCGGGGGGAAGCACACCTCGGTGTGCTCTGTGATTAAAGAGAGGATGTAAATTATCTGCATATTCTTGCTCTTGTTTACCTTTCATACCTTTTTAGCTGAGGAGAGTAGACTGAGCTACAATGTGGGTCTTTGTTGTCTGTGGGCTGAACTTTGGGCAGGTGCCTTGAAGCTTTCCCCTAGACAGTGGGCAGAGCACTTCCTAGGAGTGGTCAGCATGCGGTCAGTGCTCTGGGTGTCTTGGTTTACTCTGTAGTCCAGCTCAGGAGAGATGTTATTGGGCTCTGGAAGAAAATTAGTCACAGTCCTCCAACCTGTAAAGAAAGCTGATGGTGTGTTAAGGCTTTGAAAGGAAGGAACATGTACTTGAAGCACACGAGTACTCTTACAGTGTGGGCACAAGGAGACAAGACTATGTGGAGAAAATTACTTGCATCCAAAATGCTATTTTAAAAGAAAATTAGCTAGACAAATGCAAGGGGCTAAAGTGATACATTTATGTGAACACATTCCTGTTTTCCCATTCCCAGAAGTTGCATTCTGTGTGAGTGTATTATCTTTCATACATTTTCTATATTTTGGTTTAAGACTCAGCCCTCGACAGAGCCAGTACCAACCACTTGCAGAGTTTGAGGAGATTCTTCTCTTACAGAATTTCTGCACAATTGTCAGGGTTTTAAATTAAGACACGCTTCCCAAGTATGTCCCTGACAGAGGGCAGTTCAACTTCTGAGTGTTCTATTGTTCACAAAAACAAACACAGCAAAGCAGGAGGTTTCTGCGAGGTGAAAAAGTAGCTGTTTTAAATGGTGGTACTAATGGTAATGTAGGGATTTCTGCCACACACCTCATTTTATTTTTTTATCCTGATGTTTCTTTTGCTGTTCTTTAAAGTTCCATATATGCTTCAGGAATATTTTATGTTTATATATTTATCCTTCTGAACTTGCCTTGGGTTTCTCCCTGTGCCCCAATAGCTTTCTAGTGTTGTTTTCTGCCTTTGCTCCCAGTTACATTTCTTCATTGGGGAGTGATTTTTTTGAATAAGGTGTGTTTGGAATGGGCTCGGCCTCAGATGTATGGAGCACAAGAATTTCAAGGCCTGGTCAAACTGGTAACACTGATTCTCCCAGAAAGAGGAAACTGCACAGAAACTTTGAGGAAGTGGGTAAGGTATAGGGGAAGGAGTCTTTGTGGTCACTGGGGCTTCACAGCACACCTGCAGTAGTGTACAGGAGAGAACAATAACCAGGGATAATCCCAAGAATATGCTTGGTCAGTTAATCTGCAGGAATCCAGTGATTTTCTGTTCAAGGAAGTACACTAGTCGAAGCTGCACAAGTGAGGAAGAACAGGTTAATTTTGAGTGGCCGTTCTGTATTAGAAACAGGAAAATGCAGGGAAATGGAAACTGAACTCAAAGCCCACATGCAGAGATGTGTCCATCTCTTTACTGCAATGGAAGAGAAAGACGTAATTTACAGAATGGTTAAAGGGTTTTACCTTTCTTTTGAGACTTCAGAAGATGCCCTATGTCTGGGAAGTTGCATGGATCTTGGCATACTTCCAGGCTGGGGGTGTGGGGCAGCTTTTTCAGTCTCCTGACTTGCCCTGCTCCCAGGACACTGCAGGTCCTTCCAGCCCACCCCACAAACCGAGAGCCCTGCAGTGGGGAAGGTGGTTCCTGTGGTTGGGTTAACATCAAGCTCTGTATCTAGTGGGATGGATGGTGCCAAGGGGTCCTGCTTCTCCTTTTGCACATCTCTTATTCCAGCCTATCTGCTCAGCTTCCTCTCTGCATGTGGAAGTGATAGTCTGATACAGTGTTATCTACAGCCTGAACATCTTTAACTACCATCATCCTTCCTCTCTTGCCATTATCTTTTAAGCCATAATGACTCAGTTCTGTGCTGATTTTTCTGATTTCTTTTTTTCTTTCATGCTTTTATTCCTCCTGCCACACTGTTCTGTGGAGGAGCTCCTTCTCTGTGGGCTTGTATCCTGTTCAAGAGTTGTTTACTTAAACTTGATGCTGGAGCTTATGGCTTATAGTGGGCTGTTTGTCTTGTTGTAAGTCTGATATTGATGCTCCCGTCCAGAACGTCTCTGCAGCTGAAATGGAGTATCTTATGTGATCGTGCCAAATTGTTTATGCTTAAACCTTGTCTATTTGCCTGTGCCCTGGCAGACATGTGGTACAGGCTGTAGCTGAGTGCCTGTGCATTGACACAGAGATATCCCTGTGACTTTAGATACATTCTGGTGAGGATGAAAAGTGCCGCGGAGACGGGCTTCTGTTTCAATGTCAGGAGACTCCGACTACAGGAAAAACTGGTCTTACTGAGATATGATCCCATCGGTAAGAGCTTGGGGAAAAAGTCAGTGTGCTTTCTATAAACTTCTCTGACTGTGTGGGGCAAAAGATTTGAATGTAACAGGATTTTTCCCATCTAAGCAGAATATGTCATAACATGTTTCATACTCAGACGACTGTACAGTTGCTGTTCTTCATGACATTCCAGTGGGAAGTAAGCATTACCCTCATTTTACAGATTGTGGCAGGGAAACAAAGTAATGACTTGCCTGACACATCAGAGACTTTGATGACAGCCATGCCACATGTCACTGGCAAAGCCAAGTGACACAGGAGTTCTTTCATTCTGTTCCTTTGTGTGGTTTGCTAGACTGTGCTACCTCCAACAAGCAGTCACGAAGTATGCATCAACAGAAGCATTCTTTTAAGTTGCCATGGGTGTTCTGAACAACAAATTTTAACCATCACTTACAAAATGGACTTTTTCTTTTAAAGAAGTAAACACAAGTTCTTCCTCCTCCACAAACGATGCCACTCTCCAGATGACAGTTAATGGGTTCCTTTATATTCCTTTGGTCCTCGCAAATTTTCTTAGCTTAAGAATCTGATTTGTTGGGGGGGGTTATAGCACTTGCCAAACTGCCTTTTGCTCTCCCAGCTTTTTAAAAGTTGACTAAGAGTTCAAGTTTCTGTAGTTAACTTTAAAAAGCTGAATTTAATGTTAAAAAGCTTAATTTGGGTAAACTTAGAATTTAAACCAAACCATGCATGGTGGAGGTAATGCAAAAAAGGCTTATTTAAAGCTACAGACTAAAGAAATGTATTAAGCAGCTCCAAGTAGATAATATAATGCACGGCCAGTAGTTATGTGGTTCAAGCTTATTTTTTCTCATAATTTTATGTGCTTCTTAGATGACTACTACCTTTTCATTCTTAGAGTTAATAGTACAACAGCTTTATGACAAGTGAGAGAAACCACCAGAGAAGCAATATGCTCTCATCAAAGCTGACAGAGGCTGTGCCTTTCCTTTTGAATTCCATACAAAAGGGAAATCAGAAATCTCTTGGACTATTTTCTTGAATAAGAAAAATTCAAATTACTGCATTGAAGCATTGTGCAAAGTGATCCTCCAGCAGCTTTGCAACTTGTAGGAAAGTGAAAAGCTCAGACAGAACACGTAGTAGGTTTCTGAAGTAAGCTCTGATCTTTGTAGCCTGTAGTAGAATACAAGTGAGAAATTGATGTGAGAAAGTGCTGCATGTGTGAAGGGAAGTAAATTTGAGTCTGGATAACAACTCACATCAGGAATATGTTAGGAAGCATTTTCACTTGGCATGCATTTTCACCTTATGTTTTGTACTTCTCAGAAACCTGGGACCTCCACAGAATGAAGCTTTTTAGTGAAGTAGTGGCAGGAGCGCCCAAGTTTCACTACCTCCTAGCTGCAGTGACAGAATGTGTTACTAAGCTGCAGTATTTCTTAAAACGAAACTTTTAAATGGAAGAAGAGATTTTGTCACTGTGTGGATTGCTCTTGCATAGCTTTCAAAGGAATTCATATAATGAAGTTGAATCAAAACATGCATTTCAAATGACACTAAAAAGCTTTGCTTTAATTTATTTTGCAGTTTTGGGGTTTTAGTAACGTATTGACTATGCTTAACCAGTAGCTGAAGTGACTTTGCCAACATCTGCATCAGGTGCTAGGGGCAGGGTCAGTTTGTGCCCCTGTTGAGAGATCCACAGGACACCTCGTTAACTTCTCAGGCAGACTGTGAGATCAGCTATATCCAGCTCATCAACTGTAGTTGTTTGGGCTCTGGAGTTGAAAAGTAGTAGAAAGCAGTAAGAACCTATTTTTGTCCCTGTACGGAGCAGCTGTGACTCAGAGTAGTCACACAGAGCAGCTGTTGAATGTTTTCAGTCATTCCAATCCTGATACTTATTCTCACAGAGGTGGACCTCTTAGGAACTAAAAATTACATGTGGTAAAGTGAAAGCGCTACTAAATTCCTTCAAGAGTTGGTTAACAACAGTGCTGTGCCAGTCAGTTGCTCCACACTCATTTAAGCAGTGAAGGCAGCCAGGGGAAAAGGGACGTGGGCTCCTTTTTTTTAACACTTCAGGCTTCTTAACAAGTTCTTTTTCTTCCCCTATAGCAAAACAACGTGTCCTCTTCACAGAGAAGAGAAAAATCCGCTCTATGTGAACAGTGACTGGACTTGATTTATACATGAGGAGAAGATGGTCTGGGGGGAGGACGGGGTGAACACTGATTCAGAAATCCAGCAACATGGGCTGAAAAGAGAGGAAATGAACTGGGATCACCGTCTCCTGTGATTTGAAGGCCATTGTGAATAAAACAATGTAGAGAGAGAAAATTCTTAATGTCTGGACATAGATCATCACAGTAACATTTATTTATCTTTTGAGTTATTTTTACAGTACTCAATTAAAAAAAAATTAAATAGCAAATCCCATTGTCTGTGTTTTCCATTGTGAAAGAGGCTGTAATCTTCAAAGGAACTATTGTTTTATAAAGCAATAAAAATTAACATTTTCCACAGCAGGAATTCAGTGGCAGGATTGCAAGTTTTTCTAACCTACCAGCCACAGATGTGACAGTAGTGACCATAAGCTGGTGTCATTCCTTGGAGGGGTAATGTTGCACCAGCTCCTTCTGAGGAAAAAAAGCAATGAGAACCTAGTCACGTAAGATGAGTTTTTGGATAAGCTATGACCATAGCTAAAAGGGCTATATTATTTTCAGCCAGGTTAGTAGGATGGATTTTTCACTCCTGGGTTTTTGTCAAACATGACGAAACCAAAATACTTCTCTGATGTTTTTGGAAGCTTTTCTTCCTTAATTAGCTTGCCTGTGTTTAGAACAATATGGCTAGAAACATTTTTCAAAATCTGCCTCCAGTAGCACTCTTGTCCTCTTTTCATTTGGAGGGACCTTCCTCCACCTTCCAGAATGTGGGGAGTTACAGTGCTGCATCTGAGGCGAGCGGGCATAGATGTGCCCGGGCTTGACGGACGGTGCTTTGTTGAGAGCCGCGTGCTGGCCTTGGCGTCTGCAGCTGAGTACTGAAGTTGCAGTCTCAAAGCTAACACTCTGCTTCATGTGCTGCCATTGCCCATCAGAAGCTCTGATAAAATCAGTAAAAATACTGCCAGGAGCCCAATACCCTCCAGGTGTTTTGCTGTAAACTTCATGTAGTTCAGTGCATTGTGTGGGACAGCCACAAGCCCAAAGGCTGTGTGGGGCCAGAGAGACCTGCTGTGCTGTGTTTGAAAGACCCACCACCCCCACCCCATCTTACTACTGTAGAACAGGAACACCGGATTCCTGAAATAAGAAGCAAAGAGACTTTTCTGGCCTTTCCAGTCAGCAGAGGAGAACCTCCTTGCAGTTAGGAGAATAATGCTGTCTGGTATGAGATAAAATCAGCACAGTGATCTAGACAATCAATTAGAAAAGGTCCTGAGGCAAGTCCTTCCTGTAAGGATATGAAGATTGTGTCCCTGATGCCTGGACACTTACTGATGCGATGCAGTTAGACTTCCTGATCATTTCCTCCATGGATAACTTGGGATAGTAAGCCAGGTAGAAGGCCAGTGCTCCCACAAAACTGTCTCCAGCTCCCTAGAATAAAATAACAAACAAGCTTAAATGTATTTGCACAGGGAAACAATTCAGATGCCTTTACCGGAAAGACAGAAGTTGCAGCACTGATTGCAGGAGTCAGGAAATTGTTCAGGGGTTGAGTTTAATTCACTTTTCTATGCCTAGGAAATTCTGCAAAGTTAAACTACTGCCCCAATACTACCCTTATGCCCAGCTGCTGAGTCAAGGTGCACATTTACAATATGGCTTAAAGAAAAACAAGTGTACTACAGTTCAGCAAGATGCTGTTATAAACACTGCTTTCAAAACTTCCTGTTGTTGGAGTGTCTGATTGTGATTTCCCAACCTGGATGTTTCATTAAAGCTATTTTTCTCTCATTTAACTTCTGTTTTTCATAAAGGTCAGTGGTAGAAGGGGCAGAGAAAAGGGGAAAAAAATAAGCCATGTGGCTTGTGGTGTCCATTGCAGAACGATACATTTTGATGCTTCCAGAACTTAGCTGTTGTTCACTAAAAAGGTCCCACTAACACAGTCTGTGCTGTCACATAAACCACTCTTATTCCTGGGGCAGCTTTTCTGCTGAGATTGACCATGGGGGTGGAGGACAGTGACATTCTTTTGGACCTCCGGCAGCTGTGGCCATCTTGAGGGTTGTCTGCAGGCTGTGCCTTGCCTGCCCCTTGGGAGGCAGGGAGTAGGGAGTATGCCTGCACCACATGGGTACCAACCAGCCCTGGCTTGGCTCTGACCCTCTCGCCCAGATACCACTGGTTCTGCTCTGGGCAGCAGGGAATGACAGCTGTTTGCCTCCCGAGGGCTTTTTATTGTTTTGCCATGTTCAGTGCTATGCAGTGACCCCAACAACTGGCAAAATTTAACTTAATTGATTATCATTTTTAACTTGATTTGCTCATTTTGGTCCACAGTGTCCTTCCCTCCTCCTCCCCTATAACTGGTTTGGTTTCCAAGACAGTCTGATACCAATTCTTGCTAGTACCATAAAACTGGTCCTAAGGTCCCCTTTTTTTAATCATACTTTTACACCAGGAAAAGCATTACACCGGACACACTAGTATTATCTTATTTCTTTCCAGAACCAGCATATGGACTATTTCCCTGAGAGGTTTTGCCTCTGTAGTTGTAATAAATAGGCCCCAAGAGTCATAGGACAAGAACAAAGGGCCTGGAAAAAACTTAGCTAAAACAGCTGAGCAAAATTTCTAATGGAAGTTAAGGCTGCAAAGTAATTTTCCAGTTTTGAGTACTAGTGGTTCTCAGTCTTAAACTCCTACTTACCCTAAAATCAGCTGCATATGATATCATTCTGGCAAAACAATGCCACTTCCACAGAAATGTTTTCATAACATTACAAGCAGCTGACAGGGCAGAGCAGTGTAGCTGCTGCAAGGGAACCCTGAAGCAGTGGTGAGTGCAGGATAGGGGCGCCTGCCCTATGCCTGGCCTCTCCTTGCCCAGCCCTTCCACAGTGGCTGTTTGTATTGGTGTTCCCAGGCAGGAAACTCCTTGCTTAACGCTCGCTTAGCCTGGAGTTTGGGTACTCTCTTCCATCAGAGTGCAGTGGAGAGCATTGCCTGGCAAATGACAAGTCAATAAGCGAAGCTGTAGCCTGGCCTGCAGCTGTAGCAGCACCTGTTTCAACAGTTCTGTATTCCTGAACATAGCAGGGGCAGGTGAAGGTTTTTATCAATTTCTGTTGGGCCTTTGTCTCCCTTCTGGTTTCCGGAGCGCTCCCACAATGGCAGGTGGAGCAAGAGCAGGTGATCGCTAGTTAAGCATTGCCAGTGTCTTTTGTCTGATGCATAATAGAAAAATCTCCAGCCCATCTGAGAGTTTGTAATCTAATCAGTGCATGATTAATTATTAAAGCTATTTTGGTACTGTTGTTACAGGCAGAAGTAGAATTTCAGCACACAGATCTGTTCTGTGTAGCTCTAGCAGGAAGAACTCATCATTTTTACATCAAATATCTCTCATACAGTGATCACTGGGAAATGGCAGTGGCCAAATATTTTAATTGGGAATACTCAGAATATCTGGTGTCAAATAGCATAAATTATTACTTGACAGCAGCATGGAGCAGAATACTGTCTTTTTGATTTTTTTTTAATAATTGCTGCACCGTTGGCTGTTGGAGCAAAAAAAAAGACTTAACTGCATGTCACCCAGGCCTTAGTATGACAGTGAAATGGAATGCAAGTTCTCCCTGCAATGTTACTGTGCCCCTCTGCTTGTGGGTGATGCTCTGAGGTTGTGAGACGGCTGTAGATCTCCCTTTTGGTGGGAATGAATAATGATAAATAACTCTAAAAGCAAAAAACTAGGAGAACAGCGGACTTCCATGCAGAATGGAAAAAGGCTCCCTAGCATTTCTTTGCAAGAGGAAAGGTTACAGGGTGATTGGGGAATATACAGAAGGATTTGATGCCAGTAAAATTTTACTGAAATCCTTACTTCTCATACATAATTGAAGTAGTTGGTAACTCTAAAGCTCAGTTACTACCGACCCCAAGGGTATAATAAATTCAGATGTTGGTAAGCAAACGTTTTGTAGGGAGGTGTTTTCAATACAGGAGCTGCTGCACTGAGAACAGTGTCATGCATCAGACTGATTATGTAGATACCCTGTTCAGCCTTGCTTCTGGTCTGTGCAGACATGACTGGTCAAACATGACTTAAAGAGCAATAGCAGAACTGATTCAGCTGCAAGGTTAACTGCAATAAGAACTATTTTTGGCTTACAGAAACAGACCTTCCTTCTTTGGTATTGTGGATTAAACTACATGGGGTTTGGTAGAATCAGAGAAGGTTGGCAGAGAGCAGAAGAAGGAACAGGCTCAAAGTGAAATAAAGATTGTCCAAATGCTGGAATAGCAAATTTAGTAGCTTTACATTTACCTATTTCAAAGCCTGCTATAAGAAAAATAATTCTCACCTAATTCTCACCTACTTCACAAAAATAATGAATTTGAAAACGACTAGTAAGGTGCATTTATTCTGCCACTGACAAAATACAAACACAGAGTATGTAATATTTTGCATTCTTCAGCATTTGTCTTCCAGGAATCCTAATACACTGCAGACTTTGAGATAATCCTCGTATCTTTGAGAGCCTGGAGACAATTCATTCCATAATTATAAAAGTGTAAGTTATTTAACCTTTCAGTAAAGCAGGAGACACTAGTTTGTATGAAATAAAGAATTGGATTTAAAAAGTTGTCTGATATGGTACAGCTCATTCTAAAATGCAAATGTCATGGTTTTGACTAAGCTTTATGGTTTTGAAGCAGTTTTAAATCTATTTATATTCTGTGCCATTAGTCTGGAAGGTCCTTGTTTTCCTGGGTGTCTGGAAAAGGGCACTTTTGTTTCTTATAATCCAGCACTGATTGAGATCCTGTGCCTCTAGAGAAGAGAAAACCCATGAAAACACTTCTATTTATACCTCAGCTTTTGTTATTCCTGATTTGTCAGAAGTTGGTTTACAACTTTAGTATAACTATTTTTATATGATGGTGCCCTGAGAAGCTTTTTAGGGAAGTGCTTTGTAAGTGGAAACTATATTGTTCAACAGCCTTTCCAGCAAGTAAAGCCTTTTTCAATCCATCATGCACAGAATAATAGGATGCATTTCACAATAAGATGACTTGCTCACCAAAAAAAATTGGAGGCCAAAAGGCCAAAAGCTACAGTTCACAGAATGGCAGCAGTTGCACTGCCTTGTTCCTGGGCAGTTCCTTGTTCTTCTTCAGCCTTTGCCCTCCCAGCCTGTCCTCTTGGGCAAGGGCAATGGCAACCATGTAAGAACAGGAGGGGGCTTTGGTTTCTGAAGCCTGATGTTGTTACTGAACTTCAGAAAACTTTTCTTGTGTGATTTTTCAAGAAGTCACAGTCCATGTGTGCTCTGGGTATTACAGGGTTTCACTCCACTACATACATTTTAAGAGCATGTTACCGAGGCCTAAAAGCAACACCCTAAAAGGATGTTGTATAGCAGTACAAGAGAAATGTTATGCCTGCGATGATAAATTCTTCGTTTAGTGAATAAATCAAAACATCAATCCAAAAGCTGTCAAAAACTGCCTTATAATGCAGAACCAGTGACACTGCTTTCAATGATGCTTAGAGTCTCCTAGGAGCATTCACAGCAGTGCACAAATGAATGAAGCCTGAGGATTACACTGATTTAGTGCAGTCTAAATCCACGGCAATGCAGAGATGCCCAACTCTGTGAAGGAATTGGGCCTTGGAGAATTCCTGTTGTATTTATAGCACTCCACAACTGTGTGATACTGGATTATGCTAAGGATGTTATCACTGTGTCACATCTGCTCAGCATTCCTTGCTGTACCCCTGCCTACTCTGTACCCAAACTGCAAATTAGCCCTATATAACACAAAACCAGCTGTCAGCAAAGATGCTCGCTATCCATTCCTCATAAGTGGGGAAAGCCTATGTCTCCCTACAAGAATCCCTGGGCTATACTTTGATGAAAGGTTACTAGTAGAACTGGAGAAACATTTCCAGCCTTCAGATATATTCAGACAGTCTTGTGCTGAGAGGGTCTACGTCTCAGCATGAGATAATTTCAGCTGAAATGCTCAGAGAGTAAAATACCCTTTGGTGACTGCGTGTGGTAGGTTGACCCTGGCTGGATGCCAGGTGCCCACCAAAGCCACTCTGCCACTCCCCTCCTCAGCTGGACAGAGGAGAGAAAATAGAACGAAAGGTTCATGGGTTGAAACAAGGGCTGGGACCAATTATCATCACAGGCAAAATGGACTTGACTTGGGGAAATTAATTTATTACCAATCACATCAGAGTAGGATAATGAGAAATAAAACCAAAACCTAAAACATCTTTCCCCACCCCTCCATTCTTCCTAAGCTTACACTTAGGATTTCCAATTTCTCGACCTCCTCCCCCTGCAGCAGTGCAGGGGGGGAGGGAATGGGGGCTGCAGTCAGTTCATTTGTTCCACGTCTTCTCTGCCACTCCT